GCATGCCAGGCGAGCGCGCTACCGCTTGAGCCACATCCCCAGCCCTGCAACTTATCTTTTAAATGGAAGTTTCTTTTCTTTTTTAGGCTCCTCCCTAATCTCAGGGGAAACAGGATTACCTTTCTTTCACATTTTAGGCAGATGTATCTGTTCTTGAGCACACACTCACCATAAGAACAAAGTAATCCAGACTTTGGAGATAGTACCAGCTCTCAGAAATGACTATGTCCAAATGAACAAGTGAATTACAACTTCAACAGTGTACACGTGGAATGTAGCCTTTGAATCACCTCTTAGAATCCCCCTATTCCTGCTGATAGGCAGAATCACAGCCTCTGGGACAGAGTTCCCCTATGTTTCTCCTTTGCTAGCAAAGCAATAAACCTTTTTTCTTTTTCTGTGTCTTCGTTATTGGATTGGCACTGAGGACAAGGACTGAGCTTTCAGCAACACTACTGAAACTGTCAGAGGAAGCTTATGGTTGGGGGAGTTGGAAAAGGGCAGAGTTGCTCCTGGGGAACCCCTGCCCCCATTCTATAATATTTGTGCAGCACAGAGACATTTAATAAGAAGTCTGTAAGACCCTTACCTCCCAGAAGGGAGAAAGTCCCTTAATGCACAGGGTTGCTGAACACTAAGGGTACTTCCCTGAGGGGTGCCCTGCATTTGGACACTGATGTCCTGGGCCAGGAAGCAGCTTATACTCCAGCCTGGGCCAGGGCTGCGGGTGCTTTCATTCACATGGGCAAGGGCTGGCCTGAGGAACTGCTGGACCAGTTCTCATGTCTCAAGATGGCAGGTCCAGCCAGGATCCCCCTGGGCTGGCATATCTCTAGTTCCAAATGGCCTAGGCTGGGGATCCAGGATAGTGCCCAGTTCCTGGTGCCTTTTCTCCTGGGCAGGGGCACCTAGCTAGCAGTAAGGAGGTGCCCCATCTCCAACCTGGCCCAAAGTTTAGGGACAGATGGGTCTCTGAAGAGCAGAGAGGGAATGACAGTTGTAAAGGGCAAGTGTGAGCATTTGGAAACCGTGCATCCTCAAAATAGACAGGCTTGGAGCCTGTGAGGGCAGGGCAGGGTCAGCATTAGGGGCTTGTTTAAGGCTGTTGTCACATTAAGATTCTTAGTAATTTTTGTACAAGAGGTTCACATATCTATCTTGTGCTGGGCTCCACAACTTATGCGGCAGGTCCTGTTGGGGTGGGAAGTATGATACCTCCTTCTGCATGGTGTTTCACTGCCAGTCCCTCTGGCATCCAGTGAACTCTGGGGACTTCCCAAATGCCCCTTTAGGCCCAGTGCCAGCCTTGCCTAGAGGAGTCTGCAGCATTCTATGACACTCTACATTCTCCAGACTCTTGTGGTGCCCAAGAGCTGAGCCTAAGAGAAGGAAAAGGTCAGAAACTAGGGACAACAACCTCCCGAAGTCTGGGGCCTCCCCACCTCCAGCCCCACTGGGAGAACAAAGCAGTGAAGACCATTGTTCCATCTTTATTAAAAAAGAACACCCCCCCCCCAAAAAAAAAGGTGTGAGGCAAGCCTGGCCCAGGTGATGCCTGCACTGGGATCTAGGCAGAACCCACTTTGTCCTGGGGTCAGGTTGTAGATACAGCCTGCTGGGCTAGGTATGAGCATGTTTACAAACATTTCATAGAAAATGATGCTGGCCCTGTTGTGCAGATACACCAATCCATCCTCACAGGGCTAAATTGGGCCTCCTCCTCTTCCTCTGGGCCCCCACACTGTGGGTGTGGACAGCCCAATCTGTGAACAGCAGGATGCTGGGAAGACAGGGCTGGTGGGCGGTGGAGGCTGCATGAGAAATAATACCCACTTAGGTTTCTGGGCTTGCTCAGGGTCTGGGCCAAAGGGGATTCCAGGCCCACCCTGTCCCCTTGGGTGTGGCTGTGGGGCTCCGGCAGGCCTTCCTCAGATGTCCATGTAGTCATCATCCTCATCTGTCTCACTCTCTAGTGAAGACTCCTGGCTGGATGTCTCCAGAACCTCCAGAGCTGGCTGACACAGGTTCTCCTTCCTCACGTTGGCAGCTGACTGGGCAGACAGGATGGCCGACTGCAGACAGGGCAGGACACTGGTCAAGGATGCCTGGCCTACTATAGGCTTCTTGACTTTATCCAAGCCCCTCTTCTTCACAGCTCCTCCCTCCCCCCCCAGTAACCCGAGCCCTTGCCCCAGGCTCCCATTTGCCCAATCCCCTGCCCTAAGACCCCTAAGAACCCAAGCCCCCACCCCAGGCTCCCTGTGCCTTCTGCCCAGTACTTGTGGTCACCTTTAGCTTCTGCTTGGTCTCCTCCGAGATGCTGCCTTTAGGGGAGAGCAGGGTCGGGGTGGGCGGTGTGACGGTGATCTCGGGAGGGAACTTGGTGGTGGCCGAGGGGATCACCAGCTTTGGCATGTTGGGCAGGAGGCGGGACTTGGCCCGGCTGGGCTCGGCCTTGCCTGGATGGCCCTCAGGTGGCTGAGTACTCCCACTGCTGGGGACCTTGGAGCTGGCAGCTGTGGGGCGAGACCTCAGGGGCTGAACTTTGCTCGTAGCCTCCTGAGCCTGCCTGTCCCTTCCCTGCTCAGGATTTGGTTTCCCCTCTAGAAGACAGAGATACCCTGAGCATCTCTCTTCCTTGTTGCATTAGAAAGTGGGTGCCTTCTCTCAGCCCACTGGTCCTGGGCTTGCATGCCAATATGCTTGTACTGGCTGTCAGGCCCCCAGGCCTCCACCCTGGTCAACTATTTCTCACCCATAGGGACTCAACTCTGGCTCTGGACCATGGGGTGCTGGGACTGTGACCCTGACCTGGGAGCACCATGAACTCTGAGAGCTCAGGGCCTGGGACATGGGAACATGCCTAAGCCTTCCCAGGGATTCCATGGCCCTCTCAGACATCACAGCTTACATGAACTGTTACATCCCCCAAACCATTCCAGGCCACAAGTCCTATTGATGTCCATACTTCAGGGAAGACACTGAGGCCCAGAGACAGTCAATCAGCCAGGTGTGGTCACTGAGTCAGCCCTAGTACATCCACTTTCCCTTACACTCCAGGGAGAGTGAGGGGTTGTATTTTCCTGGATACCAGAAGAAGCCACAGCAGTTGCAGGCTGCAGCTCTAGAGCCTGGCAGCCTCCAGGGAGTTGCGTGAGCTGGGAGAAGCACAGCAGGCCTGGCAGAGCTCCACATTCCTCTGCAGTCCCATGGCTTTAAAAGGAGTGGGGCTTACTCAGAGCCTAAGCCTGGTCACTGCAGGCTGGCGCCAGGTCTTACTGTCCTGAGTGGTCTGTGGGAGGCTCAGCCAGGGGGAGTTCCCGAGGGGCCTGAATGGGTAGGGTGGCTGGTGGGAACATGCAGGACAGAGGCTGGGGTTAGGCTGTCTCAGTGGACCATGGGGATGCCTCAGTGATCAAGCCAAGTTCTTCCCTATACATTTCTATTCTTCTCTTGTCCTATCTGGGCTTTGCAGTGGGCTAATGGCTAAGAGGCCCAATCAAAATGTCTGTCCTTGTTGGAACTCCTCTGTGAAGCCAGGGGCAGAATGAAAGAGGCTCTAGGGCCCTGACAATGGTCCATATCAGATTCCAGCTTGGGCTCCTCCTTTGTTCCCCTCCCCTCTCCTGCCTTTCCTTCCCACCTCATCTCAACTGCCCTTCCCCAGGCCTGCCCTCAGGCTTGATGCCTCTGTAGGGAAGCCTTCCCTGGCCGCCAGTTGTGAAGCAGCCTTGTGGGAACCAGTGCCCAGCTGTTTCCCAGCTGGCCTTACCTTGGCTGCAGGTGGTCTCGGCACCTATCTGGGGGGTAGCCTCTGTTGGCCAGCAGTGTGGCTCTACTGGGGGACCTGTGGGGGCAGTCTTCACCTGTTGATTGCGTCGTGGCTCCTGAGGTGGGAAGCCAGTGCTCTCTGCCACTCCTGCCAGCTCTTCTCCCTCTGTGGGGACATAGGCCAGATGCAGGTGACATACTCATAATACCTCCCAGGGCAGAGCCTCTTTTGTGGGCATTTGTGCCAGGCCCTGTGAGCCTGGGCTGTGCTCTCAGACACCCAGAAGAGAAATGTGTCCAGAGTGGGGAGCCTGGGCTAAAGCAGCTCTTTATCTCCACAGGAACAGACTGGGGACCCTCAGGAACTCTTCTGGGACAATCTAGGTTGGTACTTTCAGGAAACCTCTCAACCCCCAAGTGGACATAAGGAGTTGTTTCCTACTTGGACTGGAAGTATATCAGACACACTAGGGGCCAAAATGAAGGCTGTATAGCCTCTGGACCTGGGTAAAACACCACTATGGTTAATCCATGGAATGGGGGTCTTCTCTCTCCTCTGGCTCACAGGAATGACGCTGAAAACTAAAGTCAGGATTAGAATCACAACTACCCAACTAAGACCAAAGAGGACAGAGAACACACTGGCACTATGCCCTCATGCTGAGCCAGACCACTCCTTCCCTGGCACAATGCAGGGACGAAGAATTGGCCTCAGTTGTGCCAAGGACCAGATGGGCCCAAGGGGCTATTGCAGTGCCTGTGGCCGACAGCCAGGCCATTACTCAGCATCAGTGCTGCAGATGCCCAGGCCTCCCCAGACCCTGTTTCTAGCCTCCTCTCTGTCTTCTAAGTCATTCTCTTCTTCCTGCTTCCTCAGAGCTAGAATCTCCCAGCTTGCTGATATTGTCCCACTGCCTGCCCCTTAGGCTCTTTTTACTAGGAATGTCAGCCACCTTTTCCATCAGAAGCAGGCTCCCCTCCTTGGCCAGGCATGTGTGACAGCTCCTGAGACAAAGATAGACCAGGCTGCAGGCAGAGGCCTAAGGGCCATTAAGCTTCCCTGGTCTCCACTGAGCTGCTTAAGGGCAGGGTCTGTGAGGAGGCTTTATCTTAAGCCTGGCTCTGGGGAGCCACTCCTTTTCTTGGTCTCACTACCTGGCAATCTATACTCATAGATAGCCCAACACAGAAGGCCCCTCTAGTAATTCCTAGTCATCACCCCCAACTATTGGAGATAGGACACACACCACTAAACTAAGCTGATTTTCCCTTGGCCCTGGGCTCTAAGGTCATGCCCTTTTGTAGGGTTAATTGCCTGCCCTTGCTCTGGCCGGATTTTTCCCTTCTGTAGTTGTTCCCTCAGTAGTGTGTATGTAGGGAGCTGTTCAGGTTGTGGAGGCCAGAAACCTTTCTTCTTCTTCTTTCTTGGTGTTGGGAATTGAACTCAGAGGTGCTTTACCACTGAGCCATATCCCTAGCCCTTTTTATTTTTAATTTTGAGACGAGTCTCTTCCTTAAATTTCTTAGGGCTTTGCTAAATTGCTGAGGCTAGCCTTAGAGTCTCCTGCCTCAGGACTAGATTCTCCTGCCCAGCCCTCTTGAGTGGCTGGGATTATAGGCATATACCACTATGCCCAGCAAGCCTGGCTTTCTTGGTAATATAAATCTATAGACCTGGCTGCAATGAGGTGGGTCAAGCACACTCTGAACAGGCCTGGGGCCCATAAAATGGGTGGAGGCTGCTCCCAAGATGGCTTTGCTTCTTAGCCCTAGTAGCAGCCTCATTGATTATCCATCTTTCTCAGGCCTGCCTTCTCAGGATGCCACCAAGAAGAGAAGGTATACCCCTGTGTGGAGTTCAGCAGAGACTTGGACACACAGTGAGGTGTTCCCTAGATCAGGTGGTCTCCTCCCCTTACCAGAGCCATCTGGGCAACCCAGGGGTGGGACCTACTAAGGGAACAGCCTGCAGAGAAGAGCTGTCTGGAGCTTCCCCAGCCTTGGGTTCTTGTCTGGGGAGCAGGWGTTCAGGCAGAGATTCTATGCAATCAGGACATTTCTCCCGTTTACCAGGACAGATACACAGACTGGCACCAGGTCTAGCTGTCTCCAAGGCTCATATTCTGGGAGACCATGGGCCTGGCTCAGACTTTCCTTGGCCTCTCAGGGCCTACATGAGGCCAGCACTCTCACTACCCTCAATACTACTTGCATTTCCACTCTGCTTTACTCTTCCCACCCTAGAAGACACAATGGCTTTAGAGAAAAGGACCCTCTGGGGAGTCAGTTTTACACAAAACTAGGACCTGGTCTAGGGTAGGTGGACACCCAGCAAATAAGGAGATAGACACACACTGGAAGAAGCTGCACAGTGATAGGCAGTGCCTGGGACTCCCTTAGGAGACACAGGGACCTTGAGCCCTGACCAAACTTGAGGGGTACATCTGCTGCATGGAGCCAGTTTGGGCAGTCTGGCCTGGCAGGTGGGTGAGCTTACTGGGGCCTGGGGATGTTGTGTACAGCTACAGCAGGCAAGACAAACTGGGGTTCTCTCAGGGTTGGTTGGCCATTTGATGACCTCAGTGGATACTGGCTGGAAATTTTAGTTCCTCCCCTGTGGGCCTTTCAATAGATAGCTAGTATTCCCCATGTCATGATGAACCAATGATCCAATAGTTTGTGAAAAAGCCAGATGGCCACACACCAAACCTGGTACAGTGAGGGAAGAGTTCCTTGGGAAGGGAACCAGGAAGCCCTAGAGCGGCTGCCTTCATTCCTTCTTGGCATTGCCTGCCCCACTCTCAAGTAGGTGAAAACCTGCAATTCACACCCTATTCTCTAACTGTTGTATCTAGGGAAGACTGTTCCAAGTGTACATTCTTCAGTCTGGAGAGTCAATCCTTTTCTACTTCCTTCCCCAAAACTAGATTAAATGACTTTTTGTCAAAATGAAAATCTTGAATATGTGCCCACGTAGGCCTGGCAGAGGGGCCTTCTAATGGCCCAGGTATCCAGCTTGCTCCCTAGCTTTCTGGGTTGGTGTTAGGGCCAGGCTGGGACAGGTAAATACCATCAAGTCCACATCTCTAGAGCAGAGAAAGTTCTCAGAAGGAAGGAGCTGGCTCCCAGCAGGGTCTAAATTTCCAGACATAACAGGGTTATGTGGCAATATGGCTGTAATGGGTTGGTGGGGGGGCTACCTGTAAAAGCTCCTAGTGACTACAGAATGTGCAGGACTAAAGCCAAAGCCAGGGTGATGGCATAAGATTGGGAGTCCAAGCTAAATGAGTGCTGAGCCCCGGGGGAGCAAACTTGAAAACACATTAACCCAGGACACCGTCCCAGGTTTCATGCAAGAGAACCAAGATAGTGGTCACAGAGGAGACTTGACAGTTGCAGTCCCTGAGGCACTCATCCCTGTCTCCCCACTGGCTGTCCCTCATACTCAGGGAGAAGATGGCTGGATTGTTACTGGATGGACAGGTAAGCCCTCAGGGATGGCTCCAGATGTGGGTAGGTGGGAGCTTGGCTGTAGACCAGTGCAGGGTCTCGGGCAAGAGCACAGGCCGGGAGAAGCATGGGGGTGGAGTTTGAAATACAGGGCCAAGGAGACACATCCATCCCTGAATGTGCTCTGGGGACACAGGCAACTCACCAGACTGGTCTTGGCTAGGGACCCACCAGCTGGGGAGGTTAACTGGTCAGGGAATATCCCTGTCCTGTTATGGGTCTTCAGAGCCTGGCTGGGGCTGTTCAGGTAGAATCATAGCCATTAAGCCAGAAGCATGCCTGCACCAGTGAAAGAGATAGTGCTTTGCTTAGTCCCTTCCTCCTTATGGCCTGTGTGSTGCTGCCTCAATGACCCTTTCTCCCAGAAAAGCTCCTGGCCCAGACTTGTCTAGTCTGTTAGGTGGCCCTGAAAGATAGGCTGCCTTTCCAGTGGATTTCTTATCCTGGATGGCTTCCATCTGCCTTGTCCATGGGGGTGTGATGGCACCTGAGCAGATCTAGTGCGGGAACAATGGAGGCCAAGTACTGGTGGCCCTGCAGTATGTCAGAGTCAGGAGCCCTCCTGATACCCATGGGAGGCCTGGTCTGTGTTCTTCCCCTTCCTACCTGATCAAGCCATCTTTATTTATTGAAAGGCTTTATTGGGGGGAGTGGAGAGAAAACCATGATGGCAGCAAACATCAAATGATGGTGCTTGCCCCTACTCTCATCACCACCCCTTTACAGATGGGAAGACCGAGGCATGTAGGGTTAGGTTGAGATTGGTATGTGCAGGATGTACCGATTGGCACCACTGATGCTGCCAGAGACTGATGAGCAGACCAGCAATCCCTGTTCTCCTGTGGGATCACACAGGCTGGAGGATACCCTTGCCTTCCCCCTTTGCCCATGCTTTCTATTCAGGGAGCAGAAGCTGCTGTTGACTAATGGTAGGGGCCTCATACACCAGTTTACCAGGATGGGACTCACCTGGGCCCAGAGAGGCCACATTGGGGGTGGCTTCGGGCCTGTGTGGTTGGGGGGGCCCAGGATCCTTGGATGAATCTGGAGTAGAGGCTGATACTGAGGCAGGGCAGCTGATGACAGCTGTGGCAGCAGCCAGTGCAGGGCGAGGTTTGGTGTGGATGTCGTTGGGTCGCTGGAGCACATCAGCTGGCACAGGGTCAGGTGTTATGGTGCTTACCACTGTAGGAAAGAAGTTCTCTCGGCTGTCCTTAGGGTGCTTGGGGGTGGTAGGCATGTCCCCTGAGGTCTGTGAGGACAGAGGAGAGGTAAGGCAGGCCATCTGGTCAGCCCTGGGCCCACACTGTCCTACCTCACATCAACCCAGTGCAGTCCCATAGGACAGTTTGTCTGGATCTGGAATGCCAACATGACCCTTTGGCATCTAAGCCCCATCCTGCTGCCAACAAGATCCATAGGCACCCTTCCAAAAAATGCTAATGTCAGCATACAGCTGGGAACTGTGCACCCCTCTTGGAGATGTCTAAGCCCTGCTGCTGGGGACTCGATGAGGATCTCCAGCTGACCTCCCCCTACACTCCAGGGTGCCAGTCTGGAAAATCATATCTAGCTGTGACCCAAGGCATAGGGTATAGGCCTAATCTGGGAACTTTAGGAATTCACGGTCAGTCTTGGACAAGGACTCCTAGGGACACTAGTGGTTCCAAGAGAATACTACAAGAATCTACACCCTGAGCTTGGGATTGCAACTGGCTGCAAGCCCCAGCCTGATGCTGTCCCTGCAATTTGACCAAATAGGCCCTTTGCCTACAGCCTGGTCTTGCAATGTATCTGCCACAGGTCTTTGGTTCCCTTAGGGGCCTCCAAGAGTCTTCCTTCACACAGCTACCTCTGTCATGAGACCCTTTTTGGAGCTACACAGGGCATACCCACTCTCCCAACCACGATTGATCCCCCTCCTGGGCTGCATAAATGTGAAGTCCATGGTGCCTGACAGTGTGCTTCAAAGTGAGATTAGGTAGGGTAACTCAAGGTGGTAGCCTCTCACAGCAAAGCACCTGGACCCCACCCCCTACCCCAGCACCAGGCCCACTGTACTGTATGAGCTGCCCACACTGGGGCAGTAGGACCCTCCGCCCTGCAAATTGGGAGAGTCAAAAGCCAAAAGGTGGGCATCTCATTGGGAAGCTGGCTTCTACTGATAATCCTGCCTCTTCTGATGTTTTGCTTGAATTGTTCCATCATTCTGAGATCCATATAGTGGGGGACAGGCCCTGGAAATTCTGCCATGGAGTGGGTGCCTGGGATAAGCCCCAGGCTGGTGTTAAGGGCAGCAAGTTTGGTGGGAGGATGGGGCAGGACAGCCCTGGCTCTCAGGGTACCCAGAGTAGTACAGTTAGGAGCACCCCAAGTTGCAGTGTGAGCAGACGTGAGGGGGAGGGTAAGAGCTATGTCCCTATTCTCACTCAGGAGTAGGTCTCAGCCACAGGCAACTGCATCTAGCTTTTTACAATGTCCAGAGCACCTTCCAGGTGTGCATAGAGCTGCCACAGCAATTGGGACATGTTAAGGGGCAGAAGCATTGACTCTGAGGGCCATGGCTTTCTTCTCTTTGGTTCTGGTCAGAAGTGGGCCCAGGATGGCTGTGATCATCCTAACTGATGGCTCTGAAGTATGGGGTTGGTGGAGGGTACTGCCAGATCCTGTGGGAAAGGAGGTAAAGGTTGGGTGGCTTTGAAGAAGACCCTGAGATAAAACCCTGCCTTCTATAACACCTGGAGAGGACGACTTGGCTGAGACGAACATGAGGCAATAGGAGAAGACAAGGGAACCTAACCAGAGGGCTTAAGGGGAGTGTTCTAGGTGGCTTCTTCTAGGAGAAGGGGGCAAAACACAAAGGTTCCAGAAGAGTGAGAGATGGGAGGCAGGAAATGGCCTCCGGAGGGAGATGAAGACCAGAGCAGAACAGCCCTCAGCAGTGATGCTCCAGGCCTGAGGCAAGAGTTGTAGGCTAGACTTGTGGTGAGAGGGCTTCGGGTAATACCAGGGGCATCCCATTCCACTGGGGTCTAGGAAATGGGTGACAGATGGAACATTGATGGGGAGGACCTCAAGACCACTAAGTTGGCTCTCCTCTACTCTGGGTTACACTAGGGCCTGAACTGACATTGCCCAGAAGCAGGCAATCTAAAAGTTAAGGATCCCAGTGCCCTAGTTCTGGCCACTCCCAGAAATTTTTTGAGGTCCCTGAAATAAGGAAACCTCTGTCCACATCTCTCAGGGGCCCCGATATGAGCATGCCCAAGTAGCTACTGGTCCTCTAATATATGAGAATCTGCCCTGCCCTTGTCCCCCCCACCCCCCCAGTACCAGGGATTGAATCCTGACTGTTGAACATGGTAGCTGCCCTTGGATCTTGCTAGCTAGGTACCAGTGAAGAGAAAAGTGTATGAATATGTCCTGTGTGAGTCTATCCTTTAAGCTGGATGTGTAATCCCAGCTACTCAGGAGGTTGAGGCAGGAGAATCACAAGTTCAAGGTCAGTCTGCCCAATTTAGCAAAACCCCATCACAAGATAAAGTAACGTTTAAAAAAGGTTGAGGGTGTAGTTCAGTGGTAGAGAGCTTACCTAGCATGCACAAGGCCCTGGGTTCAATTCCCAATACTGAAAAAACAAAACAGTCTTCCTCTTTTGTTTGTGGTCACTGTCTGCATGTTCATTTGCCCCACTTGGGTCAGTAGAAGCAACAAGAGGGGTTTCTAGGAGGGCTTAGGCCTGAGCCCTGCACAAGGGCCTCAGCAGTTATTTCTGCCCCATGGAGAAATGAGGCTATGGTGGGGGTTAAGAGGCCATGGCCAACTGTGCTGTGCCCTTTGGCAATAATAAAGTGGTAAGGATTACAGGCAGGTTGGGGGCATATCTTGCTAAGGACTCTGGCTCTCAGGAGACAGGGCTCACCTACGACCCCCAGAGAGTCCCCTGCCTGGTCCACAGCCTGCTTGGTATAAGGGAACTGACCAGGGCTTTCTAAAACCTAGAACTTTGGCAGGAGTTATGGCCAGATGCTCCATTTTCCACAGGGAGGAAGCCCATCTGGACCCCCAGGGTGGCCACCAGTCAGTTGCTGGGGCTGTTGGGACTAGATGGCTTAGGGGCCACCTGAGTAAACAAAGGCTATACCTATTCAAATGATGAGCCCCTGTGGTCTTTTCTGGTGGTGCTGAAGATTGACTCAGGGGCACTTAACCACTGAGCCATATCCCAGCCCTCTTAATTTTTTTTTTTTTTTAAAGAGAGAGAGAGAGAATTTTTTTTAATATTTATTTTTTAGTTCTCGGCGGACACAACATCTTTGTATGTGGTGCTGAGGATCGAACCCAGGCCGCACGCATGCCAGGCAAGCACGCTACCGCTTGAGCCACATCCCCAGCCCAGCCCTCTTAATTTTAAACTTTGAGACAGGATCTCCCTAAATTGCTTAGGGCCTTGCTAAATTTCTAAAACTGACCTTGAACGTTCGAACCTGCTCCTCAAAAATGGCTCTAGTCCCTGGGTCCCCATATCTGGTAGGTCCCCATTCTTGCTATTTGGCTCCTAGAACACTATCTTTCTTGGATACCACTCTTTCTTGTCCCATGACTCCTCCCTGTGCTTGTGGTCCTGTCAAGGTGCTTGGCCCTGCCTGTACCCTCTGGTCCATACTGATGATTACAGACTCACCAATACCAGGGTTCCTCACATATAGTGTTCTTGCCTGGATTGTTCCTCTAAGCAGGGGCAGGGTGAGGGCACTCTTGACTTTATGCCTTCATGGCCTTTCCCTTCAAAGAATTTCAGATTCAATAAAACCCTAGTCTCCACTCTGGCTGGGGCTCTCCCAGGCACTTCCCAGGAGGGGCTTTAACTCCACTTCCACCCCTGCCATTTCTACCTTACCAGTTAAGCTTCTACCATCTCTTGGACCCACCCATCCTCATCTGGCCTCTGCACCAGCTCTATCCCTCTCCATCCATCAATCACTCCCCTGCCTGATAAACACCAGTATTCCTACCCATTCTCTGAGAACTTGTCTCCACTTTCTTGTTTCTACCACATACCCTCATTTGGTGGGTCCCTAGGCCCCAGCCACTTTGCTCCTAATTGGCCTGCTTCTAATGCTACTTGGTCCTCTACAAATGGAAGGACCACTCCGGGTGAGGTCAAATGGCTTGAAGTCATCCTCTCTGTTTCTGGAAAAGCAACCAGGGCAAGGGGAGGGACCCATCAGGTCATGTATTCACATATGCCAGGGATCTGGGCCCTATCAAAGCACCCACTTTGGGGTAATACTCTACCAGCTGGAGATTCATTTACTTCCTGCTTATTTTCCCACAGCCCACTATGACCATAAGAACCATCCTCAGGGCCTACCTACTTCTTGACTTACAGCCCTGGGCCTTGGTGTGGGGCAGGCTCTGTTACATGATGAGGCTGGGCTTACCTGTCTCTGGGCAGCAGCCCCAAGGTGGACTTGACAGAACTTCACAGCTTGCTCCAGTGCAGCCTCCTCATCTACCTAAGCAAGGAGATGCCCAAGGTCAGAGGGCTTAGTGGTGCTTGAATTCCTCCCAGCCTTGACCTTTAGGTAGCACAGACCAGCCTTTTTTTTTTTTTTTTTTTGGTGGGGGGAACTTCACTGCTGACCACACCCACACTCCCTCAGTGATGACTGTGGGCAGGTGCTCTTGTCTTCCAGGTGGAAGGGCAGGTCAAGGTTCCAATGGTCCTAGGTACTGATGCCAGTGCTGGACCCATCCACTATTCTGGCTACACAAAGTTAATTTCTGTGGTGAATTATATTCATTCTCAAAGGCTAAGGCTGGCAGAAGGATTCAGATCCCAACCAAACCTTCAAATTTGGCTGAGGCCATTTACTTCTAGATGGCTTCTGAGAAGGGTAGGCTTCTGGGCTAAAGTCTGCCTCTTGAGGAGGCAGGATAGAGGACTGTGACTCAACTGGGAGGGGCCTTGTGAAAACCCAGGTGTGGATGGTGGGCAGATGATGGTAATGGTCCTGGGCTGTGCCAAGCATGTCTGGAGACCAAGAAACCAAGCAATGAGGAGGTTAGTATGGGACTAGGGAGATGTGGGGGTCACTCTGGACAATCAGCAGGCTGAGCTTGCTTGCAGGAGATGTCTATACATTGCCAAGCAAGGGCAGGAGAGTGAGCAAGCCTGGGCAAGGGACCAGGATCCCTAGCAAGGAAAGCAGCAGTACTTTTACTGTCTTCTGAGTAATTAGTAACAAAAACAAATGGAAGTTAACATTGGTGGCTGGTGAGGTGAAGGCAGGCCATCTTAAAGAATGTCCTGGAAATTGATAGAATTTGGGAAAAAAAATTGTTAATCAGGGATTTGGTCAACCCATTTGAACTTGTCACTGAAGTTCTGGGTATTCTTTCTATGGGAATAATTTTAATTTGAAAAAAATATGTGCTTAAAAATGAAATCATGTTATTTGCAGGAAAATGGATGGAACTTGAAAACATTAAGAGAAATAAGTCAAACTCAGAAGATCAAGGGTCATATGTTTTCTCTCACATGTGGAAGCTAGAGAGGACAAAGGAAAAGAGATGTTGGGGGAATCTCATAAGAAATGAAGGTAGATCAGTAGAATAGAGGAAAGGAATTGAGAGAGGGAGGAAGGAAGGAAAAGGGAGGATATTGGGGAGTGATACTGGCCAAATTATATTGTTATACTGTGTGCATGTACAAATATATAACACAACAAATCCCATCATTGTGTACAACTACAATGTACTAATGAAGCATGAGGAAAAAAAAAGATAAGGAAAAAAAAAAAGGCAAAAGAGATGACACTTTCTCTGGTCACATTCAGGGTACTTCAGCCACCCTTAGATGGTACCCATAGAAGTCTCAAAGGAACTGCCTCATAGTGATGGGACCAGGTGTCTGATCTGAGTGTTGGATTTGCAATGTGGTTTCATTTTACTTTAAGACCGAATTCAGACATTTTAAAGCTCATTATTTTTCTGACTCTAAATGTATTGCCTTATCATTGTAGAAAGTCTCAAAAACAAAATAAAACCAAATAAATCATACTAAAGGAAAAAAAAGCACACAGTTGGATGGGGTGAACAAGATACCTAATACCCACCCCAGAGGCAGGAAGGACCTGGTACATCTGGACCCCCAGGAATAAGCCTCCTGGAGGACAGAAGGACAAGGGCAGGTTGGGGTGTGTGGATAGGCCCACCCACCTGCTTGATGAGCATGTAGGTCTCTGACATGATCCTTTCAATGCGGCCCAAGTCATAGGCCACACCCTTCTGGCCCTGCTGCCACACACGGTAGGCATCCAGCAAGAGTGTCTTGCCAGACTCAGTATCCTCCAGAAGTTTCCTCTTGCGGCTGGGCCGTGGGGGTGGCTCCTCAGGATGGCTGACCCCCCTGGCTCCTGTGGCAGTGGTTGGGGAAGAGTTGGTAGTGGAGACTGGTGGGGCTGGTGTGAATGGAGAGGGCTGCTGGCGGGCACTGATGCTCAGTTCCTCCAGGGACAGCTCAGTGGGCCTGCTCTCAGGGCCCCGGTCCCTTGGGGGGCGACCCGGCAGCACAGCTGGTGTCCGCTCCAAGTCTGGGCGATGAATAACAGCCTCACCCGTGTCCATAGGCTCAGTAGGCCCTCCTCTGGGACTCTCCTTGTCCTTCTGTTCCTTGCCCTGCTCTGCACTGTCTCCTGCATCCATGGCCATGGACCGGTGGTTGAGTGGGCCAACTTTACACCCTGGCTCRGGACCTGGTCCTGAGCCCTCGGCCAAAAGGGGCTTCTTGGAGTGGGGGAGGCTCTCCTGGCCATCTTCAGGACTGGCCTTGTGTGAGACATCGGTGGTCATCCTGGCTCCAGGGAGGCTACAGGCCTTGGGCCCTGGGCGTTCTGACTCCTACAAGGAAACCAAAAATAAAACATTGGTAACTTGTACCTTTTGACAACCTCTCCCACCCAAAGTCACTCCTGTCAACCTTAGACTGCCCCATGACGCTCCCAGGTAGCCAGATCAATGGAACTATTTATTTGCTACTCCTGAGTAACAAGCCTGGCTCTAGCTGGGATGGCACTGCCTAGTCTTCTTGTCCCTTTGTGATGGAAGACACAGGGTGTTTTATAGGAAGGGACCTGCCTAGGGTCACCAAATGTGCTTGTTGCACAGCCAAGTCTCTTTAACCACTGGTACATGAGGCCAGGGTTTCTGGTGGCAAGGACACTTTCAGACCCAGATACCATCAAGCCCAGTCTAGCTTTACTAGGCATTGGTTCTGAAGAGGCAGTCCTGGCTCAGTTTCCAGCAGCCTCACCTGTTAAGTGGGTCACTTAAACTCCTGGACCTTGGTTCACTCATCTGCAAAATGGGAGCAGTACTCTACCTGCTTGGAGGGTGAAAAGAGAGGGCGTACACACATAGTTCACTGGTGGTGGAGGAGAAGGGTGATAGGTAACATACCTCTGCGAGCTCACTCAGTGTATCCTCCAGCACCTTCACAGTGAGAATGAAGGCCCTCTGTGCCAGAACCTGGCGGTCTGCATCTCGTAGATACTTCCTATGGTGACACAGGGTGATTAGAAAGGATGGGAGCATGTCAGATACCACACAGTGCTGCTAGGTAGTAGCCCAGTGTCTAGTTCCTGCCCCAAGAATGTTTGTTTCTGTGTCCCACTTACTGAGGTCTGCTCCCCCAAGTTTCACCTGAGTCCCACCCTCCACACTCAACAGGTTTCTGACTTAGCCCCAGCTGGTTGCCCTGACCTTCTCGACTGGCCGTGAACCCTGAAGGCAGGGCTATGATGGGCCAGTCCTGTGTACAGGCTTAGGAAGGGTGGGGGTGAAGGGATGAGCTTTAGTTCTTCTCCCTAAAGTTTGTCTCAAGGGTGCTCCAAGCCCCAGCTGGAGGCCCCTTTGAACTTGTGGCATGTTACCTGGGACCTTATAGGTGAATAAGACCATGAGAAGGTGAGGAGGGCAGCTAATGGAGGATGGTTGGCCTAGCTTAAGGCTTTATGACCAGGCCAGTCCACCTGTGAGCTCTATTTCTTAGGACCCCACACAACCCCTACATGCACCAGCTATGTCAGGTGCCCCTCTGTTCTGGCTGTTCCACCCTTCTGGTTGAGGGATCCCTGGTCCCCATTGAAGACATGGCTCTCCTGCTGCACATTATTCCTGGCCTTTACCTGGAGTACTACGGCTATGGTATGAATGTCTGTTTTCCCCAGGACTTGACACCACCTCTGAGAGTCCCAGGCTAAGGGGAAATAGAGGGAAGGGAAACCAAGGTCAGTGGAGAGACCCTGTTTTGGCCCTGGAATGCTTGAGGGTGGGAGAGATATCCCTTAGGTTCTAGACACTGGGACAGAGAGTTCTTGAGGAGAAAAGGCTGGCTGGGACTCCCCAACAAGTAGGCTTCAGGGCCAAGTTGAGCAGGGCACAAAAGCCCTGGGTAGATGACTGACTCAGGGTAGCATGGTCACGGGCCAGGATGGGTATGTGTGTGGCTCACTCACTTGCCCTGGTCTGGGGTCCGTTGCAGCATGGAGGACACCTTCAGCAGGGTGCTATGGTCCCGGAGCTGGGCCAGCACCTTAAGCAACAGCACAATGGAGCGGTTCATGTGCCAGGCGAAGCTGCCCGGCCGGTCAATCTCATCCACAGGGATCCGCCAGATGCCCTGTGGGATGGGCAGAGGTAGGCTGTGAGGAGGACTGCCATGGCTGAAGCCTCAGAGACACTCCTGCCTGGAACCTGCCATGGTGCCAAAGTCACACCATCCCATTAGGGACTCCTTGCCCCCTTCTCAATCCAGAAGACAGAATTGTGGCCATTTCCATTTATTGCCTCCTCCTCAATGGTGGCAAATGACATGCATGCAGTTCTGCTACCTCTTTTGTATGACTATGTTGCATGGTTTACTGGGTTTCTCTTCTATGGTGGCACTCAGGTCACATGCACACCTCTCAGTACAGGTGTTGACTTAGATGTACAACCAATACCTAGAGGTGAAACTACTAGGTTAAATGGGGACATGATGCTGGGTATGGTGGCACACGCCTGTAATCCTAGCACCTCTAGAGGCTGAAGAAGGATTTCAAGTTTGAGGCCAGCCTTAGTAGCTTAGTGAGGGCCTCAGCAACTTTGTAAGACCCTGTCTCAAAATAAAAAAGACTAGGAATGTACTTCAGTGGTAAAGTACTACTGGGTTCAATTCCCAGAACCAAAACAAAACAACAGCAGCAACAAAAGGGGGACCATGGTGAAGCTCTGGTACCTGCTGCCCCCAGATGACTCCAACATAGCCCTATCTTGCACACCTCCTTCCCTACAGTACCCAGAGAATCTTCACAGCTCCCATGATACCCAGGCCCCTGTCACCTCACTCTGAGCAGTTTGCTCTGCCAGGGACCCTCCTCCCCTCTCCCTAACCCACTCCCCTCTCACTACCTACTGCCAGTTCCAGAATCTAGTCCCTTGCAGGTTCCTGGTAACCAACATGACATCTAACAACCACTTGGGGTTCAGTCAAGGTGTAGGGAAGGCATGAGTGACAGAGAAAGGGAATGATGAGTAAAAGAACGTTAAGGAGACTGGTCACTAGCAGAGGACCTCAGAGGCCTGGAAGGAGCTGGCAGGCTCCCACATGGGTCCCTGTAGCTAAATAATGGAGATATTCCTGCCTGAATGGACTAAGGCTGCAAAAGACACTGCCTCCTCTTGCTCCTCCTGGGCATGGGGCCTGATCTATGTCAGGCTGCAGTATGGGGTTCTTGGGACCTCACTTATCATCCATGTGGACTACAGTGGTGTGCCCAGGTGGTACCCCTCTCAGGGCCCTATTCCTGTGGGTGCTCGCTGCCTATTTGTATGCCCATGCAGAGCTTGGGCCTACTCTGTTCCAGCAGTCCTGGAGGGAAGACAGGGCACCTCCAGCTTTGAGCTCTTTGGGTTCCAGTAGAGCTTAAAATCCACATCCCTCAGCACTTGCACCTCCACACTACACCACTAGGCAGAGAAATGAGCAGCCTGGCTCATAGCCTGTGACAAAAAGGGCCCACCAGATAGGCTAGGAGGCTATTTGGAGGCCACATTCTATCCACAGCAGTGCCCAACTAGGATGAAACCAGAGGGCTGAGGCCATCTACATCCAGTATGACAAACACCAATGGTGTGTCTTCCTCAGAAGTGTTTCTGTAGCAGCTGAAAAGCTACCACAAGGGAGGTATGTTGGATGCTTTTTAAGCAGCTGTAGCTGCTGGTTTGGGGAGGTGAGGACCCCAGGCCCTGGCAACCATCTGTTCCCAGAGCTGTGTAAGATCTAAATGAGACTGCAGTGGTCATGAAAGTGCTCTCCCTGTTACCTCCCAGGCCTAGCAGGAGGGGCCAGGGAAGGACCCAGCTCCCTGGGAAGCACTTTACCATAGTTTTACACAGCTACACTGTGGATGCTGGAGCTTGGAGATGTGGAGTAACTTTCCAAGAGCAGCTCAGGTTTGGCCCCTCACCACATCCATGGCTCTAAGGAAAGGATTCCTTTGGGCCTACGGAGGGAATCTTGGACCACCTGTACCAGCCTCAACTGCACTGGTTGGGAGAGGGAAGAAACCCAGGGCTACAAATTGCATTGGAGAACAGGGTATGACTTGGAGGGGAAAGTGAGTGATATGCCCTGCACAAATGAGAGGGTTCAGAATGATTCTGGAGAAATCCCTCTAGCACTTTCTGTGCTGAGCTTAGCTTACTCTTACCCAGAACTAAAGTCAGACCCTTTCAGACTCCAGGGCCCTGACAAACCTGGCAGAGCAGCTGTGGATAGGAGAAGGTCCAGCCCTCATATCAGGTGAGGATGAATAAAAGAACGGCATGTGTTTTCCTCAATTGTGTTCTGGGGAGTGGGGATGTAATGAGGGAGACTAACTTCCCCAACACCCTGAGTCTCCACACTAGTAGCTCTGGTGCCAGGGCACAGGCAGGCTGACAGAGGAAAAAAGACAGGAGTTGTGAGGGCCTCAAAGGCTCCCAGGCACTCAGGCCTAGAAAGACTGAGGGTGCTTCAGCYCTACTGCCTTTCTACCCTCCATACTATAAGTTTGATGCCCGTCAGATGCACATCTGAAAGGCTAACCACCTCTCAAAGTAGCCCATTTCATCTTAATTAGCAGGAAAGGTCTTTTTCCTATGGTGCAAGAACCCCAGAATCATGCTCTAAGGGTTGAAATTATGCCCATTGGCTTTTTAAAACCTCCTTTCTTAGCTCCCTTACCAAGCCCTCAGCCCCTCTGGCCTGACACAAGCCAGGAATTTTATGCCTGGGAGCTTCTGCTTACATCCTTTTACCTCCTTTGCCTAATCAATTTTTGTGTCTTCCCAGGTCCAGCTGTGATGTCACCTTCTCTCCAAAGCCCTTCTGGCATGCTGCCCTCCTCTGACTCTCACAGAGACAACTTAAGGTCAGCCCCTCAGATAGCTGAGGGTTGTTTTAGGCTGGTAGTATATCTTGACCAAGAGTGGGTCTGCTTTGGTTCTGGGTCCCCAGGGCCCTGACAAACCTGGCAGACCAGGTAAGGCAGCCAGTTTGAGAAGGCTTTCTGCCTCCTAGAGAGTAGACATGGACTCTGTTGAAGCCTCCATCTGGAGAATCATAGTTCCCTAATCTCCTTCTTTGTCCCTTACCCTGTAAATGTTCATGTTCAACTGTTTAGGAAAGGTGGGAGATAATTCTCATGGAAAAGAGAATGCTCTTCAGAACTCTTGAGTATGCAGAGGTGCCCCATGCTGGGGACAGGGATGGGGCTGCAGGGAAGATGAATGGTGCCCCATCACCAAAAGGCAATCACTGCAAGGTAGCAACAGTTGATTAAGCCAGGTGACAAACAGCTCACCTCTCCCCCACAGGAGAAAAGGGGCCAAGAAGATAACCACACCTGGCCCTCTGAAGACAGAGAAGCACATAGAAGTTCAGAGAGGGATTTCAAACTCTCGTTCCCAAGTTCAAGGATCGAAGACACAGGGTATTTATCTGTGTGTATGTGTGTGTGTCGGGGGGGGGGGTGTCTTCTAAAATGAGCCAATGAGGATGTAAGAAAAAAAACCTCCTGGAGTGCCCATGAGGTCACCTAAAGTGGGCTACCTGGTACTGTGAGTGCATCTAAAACTGCATGGAGACTGGCTGTTGGTATACCCTCATAACTTTTGGGAACAAGAGCTGTCTTCTGTTTATTGAAGTGAGACAATGTCCCAGGAGACAAGTTTGAGCCCCAGGTTCATCCAAAGCCTCATCTGGAACATCTGGAATGTCCACAGGTTCTATTTCAGAGGGACCTGGGCAGTGTTGGCCAAGCGGCACACCCAACCTCTTGCCTCCCCTGTCCCTTGCCAGCTGATGCTGGGCTTCCATCCTTAGCAACTGACCTCTCTGGCCCAGGTACTYACTCTGCTAGGGGGCTGAGGGATGAATGAGGCAGCTTTTCTCTCAGGACCTACTGGTTTGGGGTAGAGTGAAAGGAAAGGGTAGGGCAATAAGGGTAGGGCAGGGAAGGACTCGACCCCTCTGATGGCCACAGAAAGGTGGCATAGTAGATAGATGGCAGGTGATGGCAACAGAAGCACATTCAATGTAATGGGAAAGAGAAACCTACATAGGCTGGGTCTGTCAGGAGTAGAAACCCATGTGGGCAGAAAGCCCTCTCTGAGTCTTTGAGCAGCAGTGTATAACCACCTCCTGGGGTACCCAAACATTGACAAACACTCCTGTGTGGACAGGTCTAGTTTGCACTGCACATTCCAGAACAAGATTTAGATCCCTATCTTCCTTCTGTTTCCTTCCATGACATAACACCGCCCATCATGGAAAGAACAGAAGATGAAACGAATCAGGTAGTGAATCCATGAAAAAACAGAAGGGAACTATGGAGGTTCCTGTCTGTCTGTTGCCACTGAATGTCCCCAAACCAGTCCTTAGAGACTTGAAACACAACATTTTGCACTTGCACACACTTGTTTCATTTCGGTTTCTTGCTTATTCTTTCCTGATAACATTGGTGCTGAAGAACATACTTCCTATGCCGAGTCTGGCTGGCTCAAGAGCCCTTGTTCATTCATTCACCTTTTATTCATGCACATGGCACAGCGTGGGACTCCTCAATCTGTTTACCAGGCAATGAGTACCATCCTCTCCTAGGGATTTGTTCCTTCCCACTCCCAGGGCTGGACCTTTTTGCTGCTCTGCCCACCTCAGCAGCTATAGTGAAATAACAAGCAAGTGAGTCCAAGATCCCAGTCAGGCCTCCCTTTCCAGCAGGAGCCCCAGGGAGAACATCCCCTCCTTTCCTTAGCATGGGGCTGTGTGCAGATGGAAGTAAACCCCACCTCAGCTCAGAGACGGTTTCCTATAGTCATGAGAATGGACTTCAGGGTCACTTGGACTGAAGAAATAGAGCCACCAGGCAGAGATAACAGGGAAAAGAGCAAGCCAACAACTCTGCTTCCTGGATGAGCCAAGAAGAGATGAGCTTCTGTGTTTGTAGCTCCAGGGTGGCCTGGACAAAGCCTTACTCCATGGGGACAGGAGGAGCCAAAGTAGACCTCTCCTTATACTGCCCTTCTCATACCCTGCCTGTGAAGGGCTATGAAGAACCTCAGAGAGAGCCACAGTGTTATAGAGGTCCTCCCAGTTTG